AAAAAACAATTGCTATTTATAAAAGATTAAATCAAATAAATAATCTTAATATTTTGTAAATATATTATTTATAACTACCCTAAGCACGAGACTACAAAGAAAACTGGCCCATATTATTTATTTATTATTATTATTATTTTTTTTTTTTACTTTTTATTGTTTTTTTTTTACTTTTTATTTATTATTTTTTTACTTTTTATTAATCTTTATTTTTTACTTTTTATTTATTTATTTATTTTACTTTTTATTTATTTATTTATTTTATTTTTTATTTATTTATTTAACTGTTGCAAGCAAATAATCTTTGTATATAGAATAATTATATCCAAATTAATAATGCGAATGACTACTATTATTATCATATACAGCTTTAACACAGTCTACCTCACTTTCAACAAGATGTCTATAATAATTCAGAGCTAATGCCTCCTATTCTTCCTTAATCATCCTCTCGAGCTCATTGAGGTTGCCAGGTCTTAGGCGACGTTTTTGAAGCTTTGCTTCAATCTCAGACCAAAGATTCTCAATAGAATTAAGATACGGGCTATACAAAGACTATTTAAAAGTTTTAATACTTTTATTAATAAGATACTTTTTAACAGGTTTGCCCCTGTGGACCGAGACACCATCATGTTGGAATATCCTATTATTGTTGGGAAATTGGTCCTGAAGTTTAGAGATGGCATAGTGAATAAGTGTTCTATGATAGGATACTGCCATGGAGACAGATAAAAGGGCCAAAACCCTACCAAAAAAAAAATCTCCATATCATAATCCCTTTAGACTTGATTGCTAAAACAAGGCAATCATCATTAAATTCTTCGCCTGGCCTCCTCTATATGTGCTGATATAGATTAGAATGAACTAAATAAAGTAAAATACTTTTCATCCGACCAGAGAACATTTTTTCAGTCTTTGGTCATCCAATTAAGATGCTTTTTTGTCTAATCTTTATACTCTTTTTTAGTCTTATCACTAATAAAAGGCTTTACGCGAGCAACATATAAAACCAGATTAGCTTTGCGAAGATTATAGCTAATGGTTCTTTGAGAAATTAACTAAAATATAAAATTTCGAACTAAATAAAAAAAATAAATTAATTAAACTAAAAAAAAAAAATAAATAAATTAATCAAACCAAATAAAAAAAAAATAATAATAAATTAATCGAACCAAATAAAAAAAAATAAATAAATTAATAAAACCAAATAAAAAAAAAAGTAAATTAATCAAACCAAATAAAAAAAAAAGTAAATTAATCAAACCAAATAAAAAAAAAAATAAATTAATCAAACCAAATAAAAAAATAATAATAAATTAATCAAACTAATAAAAAAAATAATAAATTAAAAAAAAGAATCAAATTAAAAATATTATTACTTTGCCTTCTTGCTGTTCCAATGCAGCTTGAATTTGTCTTTTAGTTATATGCTGATTGCTCAAACAAGCTGCATTAGATAATCTTGTGCCGATTTGTCCAAGATTGGTGGTCTTTCTCAACGGTCTGGTAATACTTGAGATAGAGTTTCAAGTCGGTTAAACATATTTCCAATGGTCTTGGGATTACAATCAACTAGTTTGGTAATTTGTCTATATAACTTGCCTAACTTTCGTGTAGATATAATTTTTCCACATTTCTTTTCTGAAAGTGTCATGATTTAAAGCTATAAGTAATATAAGTGCTTTAATGAAATTTCAAATTTCTAACTATATAAAAAAAAAACTTACCAAATAATTATAGTATAAAACACACGATAAAAATTTGTATCATGCATGTGGTATTAAGGTTCAAAATATATACTAGTAAATCAAATGATGAAAATCTGAATTTATTGTAAATAATATCAACTTTCGGTATGCTTTTTTCTTGAACTAGTATAATAATTAATGCCTAATTTTTTTTAAAAAACATTAATGTATACAATTTGCTTAAAAAAATTAGAAATTAATTATTATACTAGTTTAAGTAAAAAGCGTACCGAAAGTTAATATTATCAGCAGTAAATTCAGATTTTCATTACATCAGCAAATTATATAAACATAATCTTACGTAAGATATTACGGCCCGTAATATTGTGCAAGAATTACGGTCTGGACATAATATTGCGCAATTTATTA